GATGAAGCACAAAAACTGGAATTCAGATTGGAGAATTTAAGCAATTTAAGATGAAATTACAAATTGAAATGCGAATTTGATTGGCCAAGTTATAAGCTGAGAGTTACTAGCTAACATTATTGTCATATTGCGAGGTTTAATAATATGAAAATATTTTGAAGAAGTTAATCTTGGCTATACTTTCTAAGAATATTGCTTAAGTTAATATCTCAAATTAGACTCAGACTTCATAACCCAACAATCTCCTAAGTTACCAATGAGCAAAGGAAACCCCACAAAAGAACTGCCAGTCTAGATCAGGCGGCCTAATTGCAGTAGTCTTAATCGAAAAAAAGTTAATTTATATTAAGACCGCTTGTAAGCCAATCCTTCACATCAAGAGCTTTGTTTTGTGCCCAATAGCCGGGTCGAATTTAATTGGTAAAGGCGTTGCCAGCTAACTGACCATTCACCGGCTACTCCGATTCTCCGACTATGGCGAACTTTGTTCTGGCCAGGCCGAAATGATTCGTTTGATTCGGCGCAAAGGTTGCCAGAGCTTCTGATTCGGATTCCGATTCTGGTGTCAGGTGGCGTTTATTTGTTTGCTCAGCCATTAATGTAATTATAGTATTAATAAATCTCGCCACTGGCCGCCGCGGCCGGTGAAGGTCGCCTCATAATAATATCATTTTGGCATTAGCTGTTTTTGAAAGGCATTTCGAATCTGATTGACTTTGCTTAATTGCCGTGCAGAACTTAGTGCTGTTAAATGGGCCGTGAATTGGAAATCACTTCTAAGCCGCAAATGCAAATCCATAAGGCTTATGCAATTACCAAAAGGTATTTAATAAATATTTTATAAGAGGCAACTCAACAATAATGGCCCATTCATAAGACATAATTTATAGGTTTTACTGCCGCCCTTTCTGGCCAAGATATATCATCATAAAAAATGTGTGAAAATTTATAAAATCCAAGATATGCGATACGGACTTTAACGCTGCTCATAATTGAAACATAAAAGCCCAAGACACATACAGTCCTCTGTCTGTTTAAAAGATTTCACGATTTACATAATAACCGGGCCAGTGTTTTACTGCCAATTTGATAAGTTTCTACGCTTTTCGATATTGGGTTGCCCCAATCGATTTGCATAACTCTCCCGCAACGACCCCACAATCCGAAGCGTCTTGTGGTCAATAAACTTATTGACCGACTTAGTTAGATATGACACCTGTAACATGCATATATCTCTTTGTTTATATATAGAGACGCCCCCTCGCCGGTTTGCCTTCGGCGGATTTCCAGCTCGACTGCTCGACGGCTCGACTGCTCTACTTTCATGGCGTTTACTTTCGCTTTTTCCATCGTTTCGTTCGATCTGTTGGCCCGGCTATCATCACTGCCCTTTGTTATTGCTTATGGCTTATGGTTTTTTGGCTTATACCTGAGATGGCTTTTTCAGCTTTTGGCCCAAAAGCCCGTTGATGGCTAAACTGGCTGCTGTATCTTGGGCTAAGGCTTATCTGGCCAGAGCCATCGACTCGGCGAACGACCTTGAGACCGTTACCGGTTTCTTTGGGCCAGGCCACTCTTGCATGGCCCAGACCAGTCGCTGTTGCTTCTTCTTTTTGAGTGTGTGTTTTTTTTTTAAGTTTGGGCTCTTATTCATCCTCAATCGTGTCAACAGACAGGGGTCAGGTCGAAAACCAACAGTAGGTTACCAGGTAGTTAACCCCGAAAAGAGTTTTTGAAAGAAAAACTTAAAGGTATTCCACTAAAGAAGTCTCTGGAAATTTCTCTTTTGTTAGTTTTTAAGGGTATTGTTTAAGATATTATGAGGTGCCTAATATTTGTTATTAAAAAATTAAAATATTTGTATTGAATTTAAAACTTAAGCCAAGTGATTTACTAATTTATATTTATCTTCAAGCATTCTTGAGCATATAAACTTTTACAAGACATTATTTTGTAAATATTTTATGAATTATGAATTAAAAGTTTTGAAATTTAACTTAATACTTTTTAATTTTGTAAACTTTTTATGGCAGTCAAATGTTTTTTACTCTAAAAACTAACATAACATCCGTAAAATTCAAAACAATTTAAATATATTTTTTAGCACAACTTTCAGGGATGTCTTAAGAAACACAAAAACTCAAAACTCATCTTAATTAAATTAAACTCAAAACTCAAAACTAAAAACTAAAAACTCAAAACTCAAAACTCAAAACTCAAAACTCAAAACTCAAAACTCAAAACTCAAAACTCAAAACTCAAAACTCAAAACTCAAAACTCAAAACTCAAAACTCAAAACTCAAAACTCAAAACTCAAAACTCAAAACTCAAAACTCAAAACTCAAAACTCAAAACTCAAAACTCAAAACTCAAAACTCAAAACTCAAAACTCAAAACTCAAAACTCAAAACTCAATACTCAAAACTCAAAAACTCAAAACTCAAAACTCAAAACTCAAAACTCAAAACTCAAAACTCAAAAACTCAAAACTCAAAACTCAAAACTCAAAACTCAAAACTCAAAACTCAAAACTCAAAACTCAAAACTCAAAACTCAAAACTCAAAACTCAAAACTCAAAACTCAAAACTCAAAACTCAAAACTCAAAACTCAAAACTCAAAACTCAAAACTCAAAACTCAAAACTCAAAACTCAAAACTCAAAACTCAAAACTCAAAACTCAAAACTCAAAACTCAAAACTCAAAACTCAAAACTCAAAACTCAAAACTCAAAACTCAAAACTCAAAACTCAAAACTCAAAACTCAAAACTCAAAACTCAAAACTCAAAACTCAAAACTCAAAACTCAAAACTCAAAACTCAAAAAAACTCAAAACTCAAAACTCAAAACTCAAAACTCAAAACTCAAAACTCAAAACTCAAAATTCAAAACTCAAAACGAAGCATTGAAAACCAACTCTTCCGTCATAGAAAAATAATAATAATAAAACTCTCCCTTTTTTTTCGCTTACACTCTTAGTATTGGTTAAGTCTCTGGCTTTTGTTAATTGATTTATGAAGCAATTAACGCATTTGAGTCTTCACTTTTACATTGTTGACGTCGGCGGTGTTGCCAAATTTCGGTAGCCAAAGCGATTAATGGACGAGCGCTAATCAAAGGCAACCCTCTACCCCCCGCTTCCCACTGCTCCCTGTGCATCAACTTAACCCCCCGTTGGTGTGGTGTTTGCTTTTGGAACAGACCTGACCTATGGCCAGCATTTTGAGTTGAGGCTTAGCCCAGTTAGCAAGTTCGTTGCCTAAGTCTTTCGTTTTGACACACATTTCGAGCTGGGATTTTCACTGTCCTCCCCATTTTTTTCTGCTTTCAAGCGCTTTTTAAACATGAACTCACCCGAAATATAATAAAATAAAGATGCGGCTTGCCAAACTTAATTGCAATGCGAACTCTCCGAAGCACCCAAATATATAATTGAGTTCATTAACAATTTCAAAATGCAAATAAACCAGCACAAAAACTAACACACAAAAAACACAAAAAAACAATCACAAGACACAAAACAATAAACAAAAAAGTTAGGTTTTTCAAATTAAAAACGCGACAACTAAACGGCCCGCAAAATGTCACTTGGTCTTGTGAAAGATTCACGCATAACTGAAAACTGAAAACTGAAGCGGCTAAAAAACATTCAGCCCACTTCAAGAAAAGTAGAGAGAGAGAGAGAGCGAAAGAGCTGGCGGAAGAGAGAGCGAGAGAGGCAGAGAAAGCAACCAGAAGTAAGTAAAAGCATTTCAATGAAACCAGTAATCAGTAGAAAGTGACACAATGCCCGCTTCACTGGCCAAGCTAGTCCAAGGTAGTTGGCCCAAGGAGAAAGGTGCAGGGAAAACACTTCAAAAGCCAAGAGAGAGAAAGAGAGAAGTCTAAGATGAATGACAGGGAAGTGCAAGAAGATTTGTAATTAGTTAATATTAGTTAATATTAATACTATTAAATACTATAAAATAAGTTTTCACAACTTTTAAACTTACCATTTACATCTTAGGAAACATTTTTGCGGTTTCTAATTTTGAAATTTGTCATAAATTTTAACGCTCTTAGCTTCCTAATAACACTCTTCCCCTCTGAAATTTTTAAGAAATTAAAGAAATGTTATAATAAAATATTATGTTTTTCAATGAATGTGATAAAAACTCAGCAAACTTAGTAAGGAAATGTTAAACAATCTGTAAGCCAACAACTTTTAACCATAATTACCCAGCACATAGTCATTTATGCCACATCAAATGCCGCTGTTCTAGACTTTATGTTTAATATTTTATTTTTTTAACCATATCTTATAAGTTAAGATATTTAAGAAAACATTATTCGGTTAACTGTTAAGTAAACAGACTTTCCTATAGTAAGAAAATTAAAAATGTTTTTAAAGTATTTTTAATATTTTTTGTTCAACATTTTCTCAATATTTTCATTGTAGAAAATATTTTTTATTAAGTACAAACTAGCTAGCATTTTTAACACACTTTCGAGATAAAATATAACTAAATAATATTAAATAAAATTATTAGCTTTTTAAGCAAAAACCAACATTTTTTAACATTTTTCCAAGCCACTCCAAAGTTCATTCCTCTATTCTACCCTCTCTGAACTTTAGTTTTAAGTTACGAACCCAATGTTATGTTAAGTTATTTCACCCCTCAACCTCTCCTAAAGTTTTACTTCCGCTTTTTGTGGGGCTTTCGCTTTTTAACCCGCCACCTCCCCCCCACTGATGTGCCCCATTAAATCCTTGGGGGAGTAGCCAGTGGCTCCCACTAAATTCCAGTGGATCTCTTGCATCAGCCGCCGTCCGAGTGGTTACGCCATTTGATTTAGAGCCCCTCTTTTACGCTTTCTTAGCTGCCCAAGTGACCAACAAGTCTTTCTCTTCTTCACTTCTTTATTTACTTTGATTACAGGCTAGCAAAAAAAAAAATTGGGGGGGTTTAACACAAACGATTAACGTAACTATTATGTGATGACTAACAGACTAAGCTGGCTAGAATGGCTCATTGTCGTAGGCGTAGGTGTTCCAAGATCGATGATGATCCGCCGGCTTGCCATGGTGACCCATGCTGCTGCTGGCGAACAGATTCTTGGCCGCACTCGAGGCTCCTCCGGCTGCGCCCAGACCAGCGTTCAGGATCAAGCCCAAGGCATTGCTTACCAGGTGGGAGGCCACCTGCTTAACAAATCCTCCAGAATCAAAGTTACTTGCTGCCGCCGCCGCCCATCCGCCTCCTTCTTTCTTCTTGCGCGGTCGTGGCAGCTCTGAGCTTCCGTGGCGTTCCTCTGAACCCTCCTCCGAATTCGGACGGAACTTTGCCTCCAGAAAGCTGGTGATTAGGTTCTTGGTGAAGACAAAGGGCTGAGGCGGTCCCTCCTCCTCGGGATCCTATTTGGAAAAGATAAAGAAAATAAAGTTTATTCTATGATCTAGATGGTTTAGTATTCTTGGGTTAGTAGCACAGTTAACAGGTTGTAGGTCTAGAAGGTTTGGGGAAAAAAGTATAAGTACTGCGCTGAGGGCGGCCAAGACAGTGCCAAGGAAGTTGCCCAGAAACTGGCCATTGTTGATCTGTGAAAGGAATGAATTTTAACATTAATTACTTATTAAATTTGATTGATTTATTTTTTATTTATTATATAAAACTTACCGCTCCACCTCCCCCAGAAAGTCCATCCAAGGCAGTGCCCACATATTGTCCCAGGACGAGGCCAAAGTTCTTGTTGCCACCCAAAAGACCAGAAATGAGTGAAGTTCCAGTTTGGATCAAGCCTTGGACATCTAGGCCACCAGGCTAAAGGGAAAACCATCAAATTAAGGGTTCTTAAAAGGGTATTAGACACCCTAAGACTCACCCCAAACAGAGTGGAAACCAGGCCAGTAAGGGCACCAATTAGAGCTCCCACATCGGAACCTCCTTCACCCTGGTATGTAACCATTTTAACTACACTTTTCAAAGGTAATCAAAATTGAATATTTTTGTTACTCACACCGCTGAGACTGCCAATGATTCCCACCAGGCCACCGCCACCGCCGCCTCCACCACCACCGTCGCCTGCTCCAGGATCCCCCTCACCATCATCGTTGTCATCCGTGGCCAATTCCGAGGAACCTGTGCCCTCCGCTTCCACCTGCTTCTCCGGCCTGGCATTCGCTTTCGGTTTACCTTTGGCCTTGGCTGTAACATTTGGCGACTTCTAAAGGGCCGTTAGACAAAAGGGTTAAGTGAACCAAGTCAGTGTTGGGTTAGGTCATCATCATCATCATCAAAATCATCATCAGGTTAGTCACAAAGGGTTTAATAAGACTTCCTCTGCTCACCTTTACGTTTAGTTCCAGGTCATCGAGCTCCGTGGGATTGGGTTCTATTTTGATTCTCCTCGGCGGCGGCTGATCCAGCAGGTTTTCCTGAAAGTCATCCTGGAAGCGCAAGTCATGAGCCTGGCGTTAAAAAATCAAGTTGTGCATACTTAGGACATGCAGTTTTTAACTTTTACTTTTTTAACTTTGAAAACAAAGAACTTTTGGACTTTTTTGTAGAAATATTTGTTAGTGATGGAAAAATTATATATCTAGTTAAGAGAATATTTTATCCAAAAAGTTAAGAAACTTAAGTGAGTATTTAAAATGTTTTTATAAACAATTCAAAAATCCAAACTTACCTCCGACAATATGGACTTGATAATCCTCATTTCCTCAGGCATCTGACGCTGATCCGCCTCCTCCGGCTCGTCCTGTTCCATCTGCTCCGCTTCACGTCTTCTCTGCTCCACCTCCATTTTGATCTGTCTCTTGCGGATAACCTTTTGCCTGGCCTTGGCCAGCAGCCCATCCTCACTAGCCTGTTTCAATAGATGCTGCAGAGCCTTCTCAATCTTGGCCTCCAGTTCGTTTTTCATTTGGGGAACCTGCTTAATGATGTTCAGCCGCAGTTTTCCCAATCTCTCTCCTAGTTTTGGCTGATCTGTGAGATCGGCAGAGAGCTCCTGGTTGTACAGCTCCTCCTCCTTCTGCTGCTGGGCCATTTCCCTAAGCTCCACCCTGAACTCATGATCGTCCTTGGCCTGGGACACCACATCCATTACTCGATTGAGAATTTCCATGGCTCTCTGGTCCCGAGTCAGCTGGTGTTCAATGGCATCGATCTTGGACATGACCCGCTTGCTCTCCGTGAGATTCATTTGGTACAGCAACTCCCTGACAGCCTCCACCAAGTTCTGTTCCATCTGCTCCTCCGCCTGGCGGGCACCATTCAGTAGCCCTAACCCCGTCACAGCTCTCAGCTCCTCCTTGGGTAGGATCCTCTCCAGCCGCCGATAGGCAGCGATGGCCTGCAGGTAGTGCGACTGCAATTCCATTCCACCTGGCCTACTCTCCACCGATCCTGGAATCAGGATTAATCCGATCAATCCGAGGAGCACTTGCAGGTTCTCCATTGGCGGCCGATCGAATGAAAACTGCGCCCAGGAAGGTATGTCCACTGGCTCATATAACATCTGGATCGTTCACGGTTAGTTAGTTGGAGGGCGTGGCTGGTGGATCCTCCCACTGGATCCGCCTCCCTTTTTCACGATTGTGCAATGGGTCAATCGTGTGTGGAGCTGATCAGTGTGGCATATCTTTGGTCCGATTGTCGTACGCAAATATAGCAATATCTTAACTAAGGGGCAGTTAGGGCCACGCCTAGAGACTGGTTTAGTTTTCCAGTTGGAACTAATTTGAGTTACTCAATTACGGATTGCATTTTAAGAGATCCTCTTTGGAGAAAAACTCATCCTTTCTAGGTTTTTATTGGAAAATCTAAGCCATAAATCATCAAAGTGTTAAGTTTACTTTATTTCCTAAGAGTTACTTTATTAAGCCATTACAATAAGCTTAATTGCAACTAAAACTGAGCTTAAATAATAATGAAAACTAAGTAAAAACTCAACCATAAAGCCACGTTATGACCTTTGAAAGATGTAAAAACTATAAACTTAAACTCTCATAACTTAATAAAAGCTTAAGATTGGTTTTGAGTTTAAGAAGTTTTAGTCACTACTTGGGAATTTCTAAAAGAACGATACTTACTTACTATAGTTGATAAAAGATGAAAGTATCTAGCCACATAATGAGTCTCATTTCCCAAATTATTATGGGTACTTCCCAAACTCTAAGCCTTAAAGGCCGACCAGAACATTAGGGTCTACAAATTAGCAGACTTCTCACCTGGCCAGAACTAGAAGCCACCATTACCCGCTCATTAGGCATTTAATAGACACGGATCAGAGTCATTAGCCAAGTCTAACAGAGGCCCCTTTACCAGATTTTAGGTGATTGAAGTAAAGGCCTTATGTAAAAAAAAAAGGTAGAGGAAAACCGAAATGCAGGTGTCGCAGTAATGCGTGACTGTTAATTAGCATCGGCCATTAGATAAATGGGAGAGATTTTGGCCAGCATCGCCACGGCGATCATCCGGGGGCACTGACTGGGCGGAGATTACGTGAAGGGGTAATGGGTTAAGCATGGGTTAAAGCCAGGTAGTAGTCCAAGTCCAAGTCGCAAAACGTTGGCGGTGGCTCGTCACGCTCGTTTAAGCTTTCAAGTGCGCAGAGATCGGTTGGGGATTGTATATATAAGGGGGGTTAGAGGGTATAGGATATAGGGTAGGGTATATAGTAGCTACTCAGGTCGGTTTGGATCGGCATGACATAAGCGGTTAAACGCAATTCCAACTGTTGAAGCGTGCCTCCCTTGGGGGGCTAAGTAAAGTAAACAAACAAACTCAGAAAAACTCAGAAAAACTCAGATTTACAGAGAAAGAAAGTTAATTTACAGCTTAAAAATGGTATTTTAAAAAATTATTAAAAAACGATTAAAAATCTTAAATATAAAATTAAAACAAAACAAAAAGAATACACTTAAGAAGATTTTTCTTAAAAATATTTTAAGCCAAGATTAGTTCCTATGGCCATGATTTTCATCAAACTTAAATTAAGTTAACTTACAGCTTAAAAATATCTTAAATAAGTAACTAAATAAATCTTAATTAAATAAATAAATTCAATTTAAAACACTTAAAAAGAGAAAATATATAAAAATTACAGCTTTTCATTTTAAAAAGAATTTTAAAAAATTTGTTTAAAACCAACAAAGAACCAAAAACTCTTTTTTAAAAGGAGAAAAACCTTTGCTAGCAACCTGATTCTGAATACTTTCACTCAAATTACAACCTGTTTAACCTACATAAATGATTAACTGATTTCTGTCAGTGCACTGCCCTCTTAATCATCTGCTTAACCATTTCTCCCAGTGCCTTAACGTTTAAGTAGATGAATTCGAGTGAGTCCCGAAAAAGATATATAAAAACCGCAGGCGTAATTATGAGGCGCAATAAAACGAGCCCAAAGCCAAGACAATAATGATATAATTGTTTCAGTTTGTGGAAATGTTGTGCCCTTTAATGCTTCGACTGCCCTCAGAGTTTGGCTTTTAATTCAGCCATCTAATGGCAACTTTACGATCTGATATAGTCACTCACTTGTGGCATTCATGGGGCGGTGAATCAGAAGCATTAAAAACGCTGAACTCGAGATGCTCAAGGGTGATGATTTTATGGGGGGGGGGCTTTAGAACAGAAAAAAGGCTTTAAAAAAGAAGGTTTTTTTTCTGGGGGAGTTAAGTTCCTAAATGCTTAAGATGCTCTCGTGTACAATTTTATCAATGAGTAAGCCTTGGAATGAAACACACAACAAATGTCTTATCAAGATGGTTAAAATGTTCTTCGTATTTTTGGTTATTTTTAACACAGCTTGGCCATCAGCTGGTAAGATATATATCTTAAAGTCTTTAAGTCACTCAAAATCCCGTCTTGGAAACATGACAAAATCGCATTAAAGACACTTCAAAATACAACATAAGCCAAACAAGATGTTAAAAGTGCTTAAATTCCGATCAATCTTGCTCTTAGCCTTCGAATGGAAATCATTTTCGAATGTCTAAATATATTTCGAGGCTCAGGCGGTGACTTGTAAACTGATTTCTTAAGTCAAAAATCAAATAAATCTTTTCCTTTGCCACTTCTCCACTTTTAATTGTCATCGTTATTGTTATCGTTATCGTTATAGTTTAATGTCTGGCGATTTTCCTTAGCGGAAAACCCTTTTGACTTAGACCGCAGCCGGAAGCGGAAATGGCCAACACCGCACTCCATTGCTAATGAGCCATCGGCACTTGACATTGTACCCAGAGAATTACGATCTCTGGCAATTAGGGTTTATTGACAATTGTCAGAAGCGAGAAAAAAGCTGGCTATCTGGCTAGCTGGCTAGCTCCTAGCTTCCAATATTCGAAACGCGATTCGTGTTTCTGTTTGCCTGTATTATTAACACATATCTTTGTGCAATAAATAATAACCTTGCCAAATCGCTTGACTTCGTTTCGCCGCCTGGCAACATATATATATATATATATATACTATATAGTAACCCATACCAATAACAAATGCGAAAGAGCTGCAGTTTTGCAGGCAGCTTTTGGATTTGTCTGTCGGCTTAAATAGTTATAAACTTTGCACTTTTACGACTCCCCAGCCTTAATGTTAAACCTGCTGTTAGGAAAAAAGAAAAAAGAAAAAAAAAGATTTATAAACGATTGATTCGTTTGTCTATGAGAAATCGCCGCGAACAGAAATTAACATAATAAATAGCGCCATAAATATTAAAAGCAAACTAGTTGCTGCAATTTATTTTTGATTTTTTTTCTCTTCTTGGTGGCAGCAAGCAACCACTTGAATTCGGCTCAGCCTCTTAGCGCTTGTTATACAATTGGTTTAGCCTCTAAGCCACAAACAATTCACTGAAATAACTTGGCCTGGGTTGGCCCAAACAAACGCGCACTCGACTCGACGCACTCTTGGCCATCGGAAGTCCTTCGAGTTAATTTCTGCTAATTGGGCGGTCTGAAGAAACAGCCAGAGAGATATGGCTAATCTGTCATCTTCAAAGACAGGCCAAAGCAAACCAGTTAGCCAGATCGTTATTCTTATATGCTAATGTTGGGATTAAATAAAGGCGAGCAAGCTACTTCAGAACACACACACAAAGATCTGCAATATTTAAACTTTATCTTCAAATAATTGCATTCGCTTTCGAAATTTAGAACAGGCCTTTTTTTTCTGTACATTTTTATAAGGGGAAAAAAACCATCAGAAATGAGCTTAATTTTATTCATTAATTCGCTTGGCCACAAGTGTGAAACTTAACGATTCCACTCACTAGCCACTTAGTGATTGATTCTAGAATTAAATTAGTTAGTTAGCCATTCGACTGGCTTTTTTGGTAAATATTTATTTTTATATCAAAATCAATCTACAAATGCCATTCAGGAAGCAGCTGCATTCAATTATAATTGCAAATTATAACAAAAAACTAAATTCAACTTAGTATAATCCGCAATTTGGGCACTTTATCATTCGAAATATTGTGCAACATTTTGGCCAACTTCCCTGTCAGGATTTTGATAGCAGACTAATGACCCAATTTGGGGCCACTCTCCCGTTCACAGTCGCCACTTTTGTTTGCGCCAACTCATGGATTTAATTATTTACAGCGGTTTCTCATTTATTTTCAGCTTTCGGCCAATCACTTCGATCAACGCCAGACAGTCTAAATTTAGGCAACAGCTGCCAGAAGGCCCGATTGATAACCGCCAAGTCATGGCGTTAAAGAGTGGTAACTAATATTCTTGTTTTCAGTGACACAGACCAGTAAAAAATAAAAAACAAACCTCAAAAATTATCAAAAGAAAAAAACGAAAAAGATGGAGAAAAAAAACCCCAAAGTCGACCTGATCGATATCACGTAATGTTTTTGGTTTTCTGGGTTGGGAAAAGTCACCTAGACACCGCTGATAAATCATGACAACGCCGCCGTCGTGGCCTTTCCTTTGCTGCTGCTTTTTCACACCACCCTCTGCCACGCCCGCGCCCTATACCGCCCCTCGCCCCCACTCTGGGTAACCAAAAAACTTTTTAATTTTTTTGTTTTTCTGTTTTTATCGCTGGGCTACCACCACGTTCGGTTTGCCAATCAACTGAAAATGACGGCCAAAACCAAAAGCCGCCACAGCCGCAGAGTTGTTAACATGTTAACTTGGCTTAAATGCATTATGATTTTTTTTTTTTTTCTGCCTTTCATACCCAACACACACACTTGTGCATTTGCCTGCCGCAATTCGCAAAGTGTTTGAGTGGATAATGCGGAATTTTATGAGCTCATTGGCTGCCGAAAGTCCGGCATCAGCATCTGCCCCAGCATACTATATGGTTATATGTTACATATATATAGGAGTATATATATTTTGTGGATATATGTTTGAGTATTCGAGTGACCGTGAGTGCAAAATCCATATTGGCAAAGTCAATATCGGGCGGATTTGGGGTGTTATTCAAATAATT